CCGTCATGCGGTTGTGATTGGCTGCTTGCTGCGTGCATGTATTTGGTTATGTACGTGTCCTGTTAGGCTCTGGTTTAGGTGGAGGCAACCGTTCCCCTGTCGGCTACATGTGCTACATATTTGTAGTGTTCGTCGCGCTGTGTCTCTCAGAAAATGCAGATCCTGCATGCACGAGTGCCATCCATGGTCACAGCCAACAACCAAAACCTCACCGATCTACTCAACCGATGCTAGTCGTTGAATAGCTGCTTTTTGCGGTGATAGCTAGTGTTTCTAGGGTTTTTAGGGTCCTTGAAACCCTAAACGCCTAGAAAAGGCTACACACGGCTGACTGCAGCATTTCGTGCATTATTCGTGCATGTATTTGGTTATGTACGTGTCCTGTTAGGCTCTGGTTTAGGTGGAGGCAACCGTTCCCCTGTCGGCTACATGTGCTACATATTTGTAGTGTTTGTCGCGCTGTGTCTCTCAGAAAATGCAGATCCTGCATGCACGAGTGCCATCCATGGTCACAGCCAACAACCAAAACCTCACCGATCTACTCAACCGATGCTAGTCGTTGAATAGCTGTTTTTTGCGGTGATAGCTAGTGTTTCTAGGGTTTTTAGGGTCCTTGAAACCCTAAACGCCTAGAAAAGGCTACACACGGCTGACTGCAGCATTTCGTGCATTATTCGTGCATGTATTTGGTTATGTACGTGTCCTGTTAGGCTCTGGTTTAGGTGGAGGCAACCGTTCCCCTGTCGGCTACATGTGCTACATATTTGTAGTGTTCGTCGCGCTGTGTCTCTCAGAAAATGCAGATCCTGCATGCACGAGTGCCATCCATGGTCACAGCCAACAACCAAAACCTCACCGATCTACTCAACCGATGCTAGTCGTTGAATAGCTGCTTTTTGCGGTGATAGCTAGTGTTTCTAGGGTTTTTAGGGTCCTTGAAACCCTAAACGCCTAGAAAAGGCTACACACGGCTGACTGCAGCATTTCGTGTATTACGAGTACGTGTCCAACGGCAGGGACCAGCAACAGGCACAAGCAAGGGATATGTCCCGCGCAAGAGCGATGTGCTGCTCATGTCGAGTTTTGATCTCGAGACCT